GCTCCCATACTGGCAGCGGAAAATCCAAAAGCATACAGCAGTGAATCCTACCATGTTTGGCACAAAAGGGAGAGCAATCCTTAACAGAGGAGCTGAGCAGCACCCCATCTCTCACAGATCATAACAAACACTCTGCACCACTCTATCAACTGCTTTCTGTGATAATGCAGCTTCTTCCTGCATCCCCTACACACTGCAGCCTCAGTTTAAAAAAAAAAGAACAAAAACCCCCAACAAAACACAAACACAACAAACTCACTGAATGCCCCTCAGCCGTTCATCCTTGCAACTAGTTCTGCATCGCTGGAAAAATGAAGATTGACAAGTGGATTTAGGCTAAAAGAGTTCCAAAGTACTGTAATACTGAGGATGTTATGAGATGTTGGCCCTAGGGCAGACAGGATTTTATCAACATCAGCTATTTTAGGGAGAATATTTTAGTAGCTTGGGGGGGTGTGATTCACAATTCTTAACACTGAGCTGTGATTTTTATATGTAATGCTTATTCTGCAATCAACTCAGAACAATGTTATTTTCCAGCATAACTCAGCCTCACGTCAGAAAGATAATCTCTGAATTGTAATGGTTGATCTCTCCCTACTGTAGGTTTTTGTGAATGAGATTAAGGATCTGGTTTCTGCAACAGAGAAGTTTATGATCACTCCGACTTTGAACTAGTAACCTAAAACTGAGCATCACTGGACTATTTAGTAATTTCTTTGAGCACACCTGAAAGTTGAATAGTACTGAAAACACAATCCCATCTGTATTAAAAAAATAATGCAGCTAAAAAACAAAAACCCCCAAACCACACACCACTCACAATATGGTCTGTGACTCACTGTAACGGCAGCAATTATCTTTTGGGAACTTCCTTGTATTTCCAAAGCTCAAGAGAAGTTGCTTGATGGGCAGGGAACAAAACAGTTTGTCAGTGAGATCTAGGCAAGAAACAAATATAAAATCTAGGTATCTTCTGGAAGTGCTGCAAGGCTGAATTCCAGCATGCTTTTCTACATTGATTCTCTGCTTTGAAGAATCTTGCTGGTTTTGCTCACGAAATTCTACCGACTTAATCCTGCCTTCCCCCTGCAAATGTGGAGTCCAGCTTTAGTACAGAACCTGCGGGGGAACCAGAGGGCCAGAAAATTCATGAAATTGCATAAGTCCACAGTTTTTTTATTTTAGCATCAGTGAACTATCATGGTGGATTATGAATCTTAAGATGCTACCAAGTAAGTGTTGTCATGGAACCAAGACAATGATGTCCCAGCTTCAGCATTCTGGTGTGAGTTATCCATTACAGCATTCCCACATGGGAAAGAAACAAAATGGGTAAAAAAGCACTTGGTAAAAATCCGAGAGTAGAAGGTTGCTGCCCCTCTTGTGCCAAAGCCAGCGAGATTCACTGCGGTGCACCCCCAGATTCTCTACTGCCTGGGGAAGGGCGCCGTCACCACGCTCAGCAGACAGGAACTCGAGCCTGCTGTACCACATGCAGCCTGTCATTTGAACCTCCTAAAACGGTATTCTGTGAAGCCGTAAATATTTCGTTCCATGTTTTTAGCAAGACATTTGCTTTAGTCAGTTCTGAATGTCCATCTGTTACAGAGAATCAAGTGAGATTCTGCGAGCAGGTGTATTTCACTTTGGCCTCCTTTAAGGAGTTTACCTGCCAGCTCCAAATTTATGAACTGGGAGGACTGGGCCACACAGCCACTAACTGACCACTGGAGACAGCAGTATCTTTGACAAAACAGAAGGAAGAGACAAATATTCTCCCAGTCTTGTTATCAAATACGTAAGTTGCTACATGTATTCTTGGCAAAGCTCATTTTTTACCATCACTATTTTTGATATGATTTCTCAAGATACCTGACAGAATTAGGAGGTAAAGAATGGTCTTGATTATTCTGCTGCTTGTGTACTCATTGCTTGTCCTACAAACAGCAATCTGTATGATCAAGTCTATCGTTTATTGTTTCAGCAAACAGGACATGTACTAAGGACTTGGTCACCTGCCTTTTCTGGAACTACCAGCCAGACCATACGTGGAAGCAGCTTGAAAGCAGTGTGTATGGATGATAGGTACATACAGGAGAATTTGACAGAGGTTTAACATAATTAAAAGTCTTGGCTGGGAGCAGCAGAGCTGGCTGCATATGCAGATGTGATTCACAGTTATCACCATGAGGGTCATCATCAATTAAAATATCAAGAGCTACGCTGCTAAGGACAACAGCTTGTGTCCCTGAAGCAAAGCAGATGCTGCACTGTTCACTTGCACCCTACTGGTGTGCTCACTTTGCAAACCTGACCTGAGCCGTGCAAGGCATCACTCAGGACTTGTTCTCCTACTGGAAATGCATTACTGCTGTTGTGTGTCACACACTTCCTCCCCGCAGCCCCTCGGCTACTGTAGTCTGGAAATAAATGTTTCTGTGACAGCTCACAGCTGGAACAACTATGGTCTCATGAAATAAATCAGTTTTTGCTTGTACTGGTCCTTTGCTCTTGCCTAGACTGACATTCTACCAGACAGAAGGACAATGGATTGTTTCCTTTTGCTTCTAGATGACACATTCTATATTAAAAGTTAGTTCATTTTCTTTAGGCTGTTCTCACAGTCAAAAGCTAGACTCAAAACATGGATAAACCATTCCCCTCAGCCATGCTTTGAGGTCCTGGCAGCCATTTGCTTGCAGCTTACTAAACAGCCCTTCATGGCTTTCTGTGGTTCCTTTAGTATCTCTCTGATACTGAAATCCAGAATGTCATTATCAGTGATTTGGAAAATTCCAGAGCATAGACCCCGCAACTCAAGAGATTAAGGTACTCACCTGGAAAGAGACATGGGTAGCTCTTAATCCCACCTCCAGTGGGCATTTGGCTGCAGCAGAAGGCATCGACAGCACTTCACTGGGGACTGGTTCCATCCCCAGGCAGAGCTTAAATTACTGTCTCCTATCAAGAATCAAGTCAAGTAGCCTTATCAATCCAATGGTAAGAGATGAGCACCATCGCTCCTGAATCCTTTAGCTCACCCTTCATTCAAAACTACACACTGAATTTGACTCCACCCATCCACACTGCCAGGTCAGTGAAACTGATTTTTTTTCAGATATCTGACAAAACGTTATCCTGTCTTTGTGTTCAAAATAAAGTGATCAAATGAGTTTTGAACCACAGCAATGGACACTGGCTGAAATACTATTTACTTTTCCAAAAGAAGCTGCATTCCAGGTTCCTCTTTGCTGTTAGAAATACAGCTGTGCATTCGAGGAGGATAGGAACAGTGGTCCTACTGACCAGCCTGCATAACTGACCCCGCCAATATTGACTATTGCATCAGTTGCTGGTTGAGCTGTAAAAATCACAGCTTCTTTTAAGTCACTGCTACAGATACTGAACAACATTAGGCCAAAAAATCCTCCTTTGTTCAACAAGAACCAGCCTCCTTTGTTGATTCTCCATGTAAAACTGAGGTTTTAATTTATTCGTCATGAGGTGCATTGGTTTTACTGGTAAATATTTTTTAAAAGGACAGGTAAGGCAAAATTTATTAGCAAGAGTCCCGCTGGTTTATGATAACACCATTATGAATGCAGAATCAAATAAACAGAACAAAAAAACATTTAATGCAAAGTTAAATACAATACAAACTTTATTAAAAATAGGTTGCAAGTGAAATACAGTAGAAATGGGCAACTACAGCAGTTTTGATGTTTTTCATAATAATGCACAGACAAATATGAAAAGCACTTTTACACATATTCACACTTGACCCGAATGCCCAATAGCGGCCAAATCCACTCGACTGAAGGTTATAGGTATTTTTTTGCTAAGCCTTTTTCAGATTCTAGCAGCAACAGTAATTCAGCCACAGCATAAAGTTTTTTTTTTTTTTCCTTAAGAAAAATTTGTCACTGTAAGGCTGCTAGTGTTCTCAAGATAAATTGGGAGAGGCTTGCTTTTCCTGATTAACAGACATAGCAAGCATGCAGATCCTTCATTAACACTTTGAACCAGTTTAATCTTCTACTTCATATTTAAGAGGTGAAACGGTAAAAGCACACTTTCAAATAAGAAACCTGAAATATGTAAAAAATATTTACACTCCAATTTTCATTAACTTGCATTTATTTATCATACAACTCTTATTAAAAGTGATTTCATTCCTAAGGCAGTGAAAGTCTACCTCTTTGTATTTGGAAGTGTGCACAATTCCCTAAATATATATTTATAAGAGAACAATATGATACAGGGAAAAAAAAAATAATCTAAAGCCAGTAAAGGGCTTTGTCAAATAGAAAATTTGTTTGGAATCACAATATATATTGTCTTAACATCACACAATGAGAAAAACTCTGATGAGGTCCTTATTCCCAACATCATCAGCCACATACGCATAGCTGAAGAAATAGTGGGAGGAAAAGATTAACAATTTAAAATTAAATAAGGCTATTACAGTGTGAAAAAATAGCTTGAACTGCCAAAAAGATTTTCAGCACAACAGTAACAGGATGTCAGTAAATCCAGCGAGACTAAAGAAGAGCTTGCTAGCACTGCTTGCTCAGCACGAGCAGAGATGGTTTGTTGCCAGCACCCCAGCTCTGTTAACGAGCGTGCAACGTTCCCACTCCCAACCAGCAGTGTTGTATTTGACACTTCACACTTCGGTCTTTTTTTCTCCAGCATGCCAGTCAGCTTCTCCAGATTCAAGAAAAAAACAAACAAAACACCAACAAAGAAGATATTGGTGAACCGCTAATAGCAGACTTACCAGCACTGTTCCATGCCCAACTGGCTGACACCTTCCAATCCGTCTTTCTCAGAAAACAGACACCTCTGTCCTGCCCACCTTAGAACTGGAATCATTACTCCTTGCCTTTAACACATTATTTACATTTTGGTCCTAGCTGATGAAGGGCCACTAGTGTAGCCTACTATCTATTGCTTATGTTATTTTTAATAATTATCCAGAAGTTTGATCTTCATGTTTCTGAAAGTCTGAAGCACATACAGTGGGGATGCATCAACATACACTTTCTGTAACTACAGATGAATTCTTAGGCAACCATTTTAGACCAAACAAATACGTAGGACTAGAAATGGTTTTATTCCAAGGCTCTACCTACAGGATGTGTGTTATTCCAGTACTAAGCAATGGTAAGATCTGTATTGATACGCTGATCATTCTATGAACACCATACAGTATGTCAAACTTGCATATGAAGTCTTATTTAAGGTGGCCCAGATATTGGCTTCTTATTAACCTAAAATACTAACTTCTAGTGCACAGTTTAGTTTAGGCAGTTCAAGCTATTCTCACTCTCTCTGCTCAGCAGCTAAAACAAAAGTGTGTCTGTAAAACACCAGGAAACAGAACTTATCTTTGACAAGTGCTACTTGGTCTGGTGCACAAGAACTTAACCCCCAAAACAGAAAGGAAAAGAAAGTTACCTTCACATGATTCATATCTTTAAAATTTTACAGTGCTTTCATTGTATAGACCACAAGCTCCTGGCAAAGTAATCAGTTTTCTTGCTATTGCAACATCTCTAAATCTTAATTAACAGTCTTAGATATAGAGGAATCAAAGTCACTCCTTTCAGAAAACATTCATTTTCTGTTCATTAGTAGTGCCCCGCCCATCTCAATCCCTCAATTTAGAGATCTTCAGTTACATCTGATAAGGTGCTTTAATCTTATTTTGTGTTCAACTCATTTTCCAGTTCCATTAATTTCCTAGAAGCTTTTACTTTATTGGATACATCCTGACCCTGTGAAAAAAGTCGCTGGCGTTCCCTGAACGTCAAGTTTTCTGGTGCTCCAGGTAAATCTGTATCTTGACTGGAAAGGGAAAAATAGTCTTTGTTATAATTGTTATCTACAATATTCTTAAATATAATAAAATTTAGTGATGTGTATTGACCAATAGTTTTTTTGATTGCAGCAAAAGATTCTCTATTTTGCATTCTTCAAGATTTTGTTCCCCACGCATGCCTTTAATTCTGACATTGTGCTGTCACTTAGTTGACAGCTCACATCCCTCCCTGGTACACTAACACAAGTGAGAACTTATTTCCCATATCCCAAGTGAAGTGTAGGTGTAAACTAAGGCTCTGTCTGTATTAGTGTGGCATTGCTGTTATGGCTCAATTAGGAAGCCTCTCTGTCGTGAGATGTGTCTAGGAAAAAGCACTAGAATAAAAAGCTTTTATGTCTTGATAAAACAAAGCTGCTGGTACTGAGGTAGCTGTAGTGCCTGCAATACCTCTGTATTTTATTCTCTACTAGGAAAGCTGCCAAGTACAATTGTTGCTTAAGCTCTTGCACTTCTCTCTTAACCTTGCAGCAAACAGATTTTTCTACTATGTGTTTCTGACGATCACAGTGAAGTTCTCAGATCAATCTTAATTGTAGCTGTAACAATACTTTACATATGTGATTAACCTTCATATAATAATGCTTTAATATATATTTAAGTTTTTTGATCAGAAGAGGTTTTAATTTTAGCTTTAAGAAGTCTGCACACTCCACTAAAACATTAACTACGTTTTAAAAGGTAGGAACTGGGCTAACAGCTTCTACAAAATCCTAGCCAAGCCCAGTCACGCATTCAGTACTCTACACAGTAAAGCTTGCCACTCACATATCAAATACAGCCAGTATTATTTATGTTTATTACAAATATGATAGGAATCCCACGTAAGAGTTAGTGTTCAGATTTATGAATACATCTGAAACAGCTGAAGTTGTTCATTTACAATGATCAGTGTAGTCCACTGTAGCACTGAAATTTGCTTCTGTGAAGTAGTACTTCAGGTCACCTAAAGACTTGTGGAGAACTCAGTTGAACCCAAGATTCTCCAATGTCAGAGCTCTTGAACAGCCCCCAGAGATACACCAGAACATACTGCAGAAGTTAGCCAAGTCAGGTGTATAAAAGTTAATGGACTCCTGCACATCACCTTTTAGATCTTTTCTCTCTTGGATCCCGATAAACTTCATGGGCTCCAACAGCTGCTCCTGCAGATCCAGTGTATGAATTTATTCCTTATGCAAAAGAAAAAATAAGTTGCAGGATTACAGTTACAACACCAAAGTTTTATATTGTATTTTTTCAAAAAGGTGCAGTGCTTCTTTCAAGAAATAATCTCAAAGGAGAATCAGAAATAAATTTAGACAGTCCTGTGAGCTCTAGAATATTTAAAACCAGTGCTACTGGTTTCAATGCTCCCTCAAAAGAGCTGTAACCTTTTTATTCTTAATTTTGAGTCAGAAAACATTTTGTTTAGACTATCCAGCACATACCAAATTATAGTCTTTAATTATAGCTTACTGTAAGACAGATATTAGTAGTTGTTCAAGAATATTGATGGAAAGAGCAACACATTTCATTATCCTGTAACAAGCTCCACAGGAAATAAGGTAGCTTCAGCTGCTCTCTTTACAAGGCTAGAGGTAAGTTAAGATTAGTATATACCATCTTTGCAATTCAGCACTCAGAATTTTTGTCTTTATTTAGTATGATTAAGTCAACTGTATCACTCAGAAAATACCCTCTTCCTTCCATGCCATTAAATTTAAGTTTCCAGCAAGTATCTTGCAGCACTGCACCTTTAGACTAAGTTGATATAACAGACAGGTCTTACACATTATATTAATTCTTTCTAAAGGCCACAAGACAAAACCTTCTCTTTCCAATCAAAAAGTTTAATAATTTAATCTCTATTTAAGACCATACTATCTTAGTAACTGTCAGAGTAAGTGTCAGCACAATACTCAGATTTGTCTTCAGACAGTTCTGGTCTCATATTGTACATGTTATGTCTTGTGAACCTTCTTCAGTACAGAAAGGTATGTTTTGCTTCTTCCACTGGTATATGGAACTTTTCATAAATATTCAATAAAAGAAACATATGAGGCTGGAACACAGAATGAAACTTAGTGAGTGTGTTGTCAGCTAAATTTTTTCCATCAAAAATTTGTAGCAGACCAAATCATACTAGGTATGCCAGGCACAGGAGGACTTTTTTCCTTTCAGACCTGAGTCTTACATGCATGTGAAGTACTACTTGTCCCTCCTTAGAAACATCTGGACCCACATGCCATGGTTCACACTTCCACTTGCTTTAGGACAGTAGTTTTGATTTGGGTGTTGCCATTAGTTTTTTTTTTTTAATTTTACAGACTCGGTCATCTTAGATCCAGTGGAAGAAGGTACAAAAGCAAAATTTGCAGAAGCATGGTTTGCTAGAGTTAACGTTCAGAACAGAAAAGAGCTGCAAAAGACAGGAATGTAACAGAGTCAGCAAGATGGGAGATGGTAACTGCACAGTGAATTCTGCATTTTGTGCAAACGGCTTTGTACGTTACGCAGGCAGTCTTCAGAGAAGCTTGAGCAATCAGGTGAAGTTAACCTGTTCTCATGGCTATTTTAAAAATTATGAAATAAGAGTATTCAGAATTAGTTGTATGGTTTATGAATTAGGTTATTAAAGGCGAAGCATCGTACTACAGTATTCTTTGTTACCAAAACTCTAACCAAATCTTTGTAGATTCTCCTTTCCATAGTTTTCCAGGGGAAAAAAAACTCGCGCGCACACACACAAAAAAAAATATCACCGAACGTTTCACTTTGCTGAGATTCATTTTTCCATTTAAATTAACAGAAAGCAGGATTGGGAAATGTAATTACATATGAAATGGCATTCTGGGTTGTGGATGATGGGAGGCAGGAAGAGC